AAAAAAAACACAAAAAAATTTTAGTTTGGTAAACCAGAAAACAAAATCAATCAGAAATTCTCTAAGGTTCATTTATTAAGTGCTTAATATACATAAGGTCCTTAATAAAAATTTTTCTCATTTAATATTTGTACTAGTCCTATTGGTCTGATATTATTATACCCATTTTAGAGATAAAGAAACCTGGATTGAGAAATTTGTCTAAGGACACAAAGATAGTAACTGACAGAACTGAGATTTGAACACTGGTCTACCTGACTCCAAAGCACGTGGTCATAATGTAACCACTGTGCTTTGCTACCTCACATCGTGTATGTTTTGCCTGGCAGATTTAAAATATAATGTTGGCTCTGTTCTGACTTTGGTGTAAATGCATTACTGTCTTGAATTATGCAATGGTTTAACCTTTATGTTCTGCTGTTGGGTCTTAATGTCAGCTCCTGGACTAGGGAGGTTAAATAGTTTCAGTATACCACCTAGCATGGCATAAAATGCAGCTATGCTTTGTGATGAAGGAGCTGGTCAATCTGTGGCTCCTATCTGAGCTCAACTGCTCATTCATTCATCCTGCACCCTCAGCAAGCATCTACGGACTGCCCACCACATGTCAGACATTGTGCCAAACTGATTTCTTCATCTTCCAAGAACTTCTGTATTCAGTCTCAGGAAAGCATTTTGGCAAATCTGAGTACCTGAGTGCTTCTGAACAACAAGTGTCTTTCTGAACAAGGAAAATGTCTGTTTTTAGAATAAATGAACCAATGGTTTTCAGTGGTATGCCCTCTCCAGAGACATCCTGGCCCCTCAGCTCCTATGGTTGAGTCTGTCCCTTTTTGGTTACTCAGAAATAGGTCTGCTAATGCCTATAACACACACACACACACGCACATGCACACACACACACATATTTAGTTCAGTAATTCCAACATTTAGGAGTTATAAGTATCTTCCCTGGATCACTAAAATCTGCCTGGCACTAAACAGTAACTGTAAACAAAGGCAAGGCTAATTATCTGTGATCAAGAGTGGCAACCCATGACAATTAGTGTTATGGGCTGAACTGTGTCCCCGCCCCCTGACTTCATATGTTGAAGCCCTAACCCCCAGAACTTCAGAATGTGACTGTATTTGGAGACAGGGCTTTTATAGAGGTAATTACGTTAAAATGGGGCTATTAGGGTGGGCCCTAATCCAATGATTGGTGTCTTTATAAGAAGAGTTCAGGACACAGAGAGAGTGAGACATCAGACACATGCGCACTTAGAGATGACCATGTGAAGACACAGGGAGACGAGGACCATCTGCAAGCCAAGGAGAGGGGCCTCAGAAGAAACCAACCCCACCGACACCTCCATCTTGGACTTCTAATCTCGACAAGTGTGAGCAAATAAATTTCTGTTGCTTATGTGATATTTTCTGATGGCAGCCCTAGCAAATTAATGCACAGAGTGAAGTCACAAATACTGTTTAAGAATAATCTGCAAATCCTACCAGCCTGAAAATTGATGTTTCAGGGCTGCTGTGTTCACCAAAAATTTAAGCTTCTCCTACGTGGTAGGCCCCCAAATAGGTGCTAGAAGGCTATATAGAAAAAGCTTCAAATTAGTAATGCAAAATGAAAGTGGCTGATCCTTTTCCCATCTCTGAAAACGTGTCCTTGGAAAACAGCAGTCACCGTGAGCTTGTGAAGAGAAATCGCACTGTTCCTTCTCCCCAATATCCCGTAAAATTCAAGATTTAAAAGTTACCTTCTCCTAAACATCTTCCAATGAATAAAATTATCTTACCCAATCCTTCCAGTTCTTGAACTACTTCTTTCCAAACAGGCTCGATATGGATACAGCTAAAGCACCAATCTGAGGTGATCTTAATGAGGTAGGGTTTCTTGAAGCTATCTGGAACCACTTCATTCACATAATGTGAAAAGTGCAATAAATACTTTTCATCAATGGAGTCCCGCCTCTCAGAATTAAAAGGGAAGTGAAAAAAAGATTCATCGAAATAAAAATTTTCATGGAAATGGCGGAAGCGATACTCGCGCTGCTGTTGCTGCTTCTGGTAGCCCTGGCTCTCTCCAGCATCTCCATAATGGTCATAATTTGATCTCTTTTCTTCATTGGAAAGAATCTATAAGGAAAGAAAGAAATAAGAAATCTAAAGAACGAAAAAATATTTACTCAAAGCACTTTCCTATAAGCAGCTTGGAAGACATGAGAGAAAATAAATGGGGGCGGCCGAGTGGCTCAGTGGGTTAGAGCGTGAGCTCTGAGCAACAGGGTCGCCGGTTCGATTCCCACATGAGCTGCCGCTGAGCAGGATGGCTCAGCTGGTGAGAGCACGTGCTCTTTAACAAGGTTGCCAGTTTGACTCCCACATGGGATAGTGGGCTGCACCCCCCACACACCCCTGCAACTAAGATTGAACGCTGCGCCTTGAGCTGAGCGGCTATGAGCTGCCGGATGGCGACTGGACTTGGAGCTGAGCTCGCTGCGCCCTCCACAACTAAGATGGAAGGACAACGACTTGGCTGTTTCCCTCTCCCAATTCCCCAAAAAATCTTTAAAAAAAAAAGAAAATAAATGTAAAGATATGTCATGATTAGATATCCTAATGCAGTAACTCAATATACCAGGAAACTCTTCTTGCAATAGAAGCATTAAGTATTTCAAGACCAAATTACTTCAGTCGTTGAGATACTCACATGCTCATCTTGGATTTAAAGATTTTGAGCTATCATAATACCAAACACATCAGTAAAATAAATAAAACTTAATGTTCATCGCTAGGGCTCAACCACAAGAAAACTGACTAGGTCATACCATTTAAGTTGGAATAATTCAAACCAAAATATGAAAATCCATGAACACCAAAAAGTAACCACAGAATTGAGTTCAGTGTCTTGTGTGTAGCTTTGTTTGAACTCAGAAATACCTTTAAAGTCTAAAACCTGAGAACCTATTTGAGCATGAAGGGTCATTCTATGAGCAAAGCACTATCACAGAGCATTACCCTACACAAATCAGGGTGCCATGTATTTATCTTTTATGAGTCTTTCAGACCAACCTACTTTAGCTGACATGTTGGAAACCAGTTCAAAATCTTGTGTTTAAATGTACTTGTAACCTTGTGTCACTTCAATAAATATGGGCAAATTGGTCTGTAGTTATTTCAGTTTCTAGTATACATGCTGCCGAAGTGAGCATGTAATACAAGTTTCTAAAAAGGAAATGGAGACATACATTCAGGGTAATTCTACAATTCCAATTAAAGCCTTTCAAATAGGCCATTTTTTCTCCCCCAAGAGCTGAAGTGTTCAGGCACGAGTTTCAACATACTGGATGTGGCCAAACATGGTGTCTCGACAATCATCTAGAAACTGGGTCAAGGGCACAGGGAACATGTCCTATCTAAGAGGACTTTACAAGACTGATTACCTAAGGCATATTGTATAAGGGCTAACGGATGCATCACAAAGTTTGACACGATACCTCGTAGGCCTTGCTAATTTGAATGAACTTGTCTTCTGCTCCGGGATCTTTGTTTTTGTCAGGATGCCTGAAACACAAATGGGCAGGCAGTGAGAATGGGTTGAATATTCCACACATGGTCAATCAACATTTTTATACACACAGTTCATTATTACATCAGGGGCAACAGGAAGGCTCTTCTGTTAGGACAGCTTCTTAAAAATAAATGGTAGAAGCAATCGGTTGCTTCACATGACTATATTAAATGCAACTTTAAAACCGGCAAGTTCTTCCAAAAGTACTTCAGCTGGGCACGTTTTCAAAGCACAACATGAGACAATTCTGTAGCATTTCACTGAGGAACGGTGAGAAATATGCATGCCTTTACACTGCTCCCAAATACGGCTAAAGCTGGTTCAAGGCTAAAGTCACTTATCCATAAGAACCAGGGTGTCAGCATTTCAGCCCAATGTTAGAATGATAGCAATGAAGGTATTTCTTTTGACAACTCAGGTAGACATAGGAAATAGCTTTGGATACAACATGAATTTGTTTAGTAACAACATTTCAAATAGCATCTTGCTGCTGATGTTCAAATTAGAACGTAGTTTTCATTACTACTATGGTTATCCCATTCTACCTATGATTGACTTTTACCTATACATGGATAAGACGTGAGCAAAGTCTACAGTTTATGTAAAGTGATTTCAACTCATATTAGAATTAATATTTGCTCTTATACGCAGCTGGCAATTATCCATTTTGCAGTCATATAGTATTCTGTAATCTGCTTGTAATCAATTTCAGCTTCGGGGATTTTAAAGCCCTGGAAAGCAGGGGCTAGATTTTCTGTCCTTAGAACCCCCGAAGATCTAAATCAGTGTTTGATTTTTTTCAATGTTCATTTTATTAAGAGACTCTATTACAGAGCTTATTCTTTAAGTAACCACTTCTGCTAACTTCTAATAAATTTCCTCTAGCAAAGGTTCTGGAAAGAGAAACAATCTACTGGGAAGCAAATGACTACTGAAAGCAGCACCAAGTTCATTGGAATAAAAAAAATTTACAACTTAAACTATTCCAGCGGGAATATATATGAAAGAATTATACCACATATTCTGATTTCTCTAAAAATAAAGAAACTTCAAACGGTTGGCTGTTGAATTTGGACATCACTCTTTCCTTAACTATTTAATCCCTGTTATGAATATTAGTGGGAAAAATATCAGCTAGGTATAGTGAAAACAGTATAACTTAAGGAAACAAGATGGCAGTTCCAAAGCATGTTTCTGGATGGCCAAAAAAAAAAAAAAAGTGCTTTAAATATTCAAACTTAGGCTAAAGGCTGAGAAGATAAAATTATGCGATCATATAAATGAAGATTTAACACACAGAACTCTGTAGGGGAGAAGGGTAAGAAAGAACTGTAAAGAGACTGAACCAAAGAGAGAGTTGGGAGGGCAGTTGGGTTAAAACCACAGATCTTGGAACAGAGGAAACCAAGGCCCAGGAATAGGGAGGAAACCACAGGACAGTTTCAGCTTATAAGGAATATTTTCCTAATTGCTGGGAAACACCACAAAGTTGAAAACACTTAAAAAAGGATAAATTCAGCTCTAGGAAAGTACCGTCCAATGCTATTTTCAGTGTACATGAAACATTTCACAAACTGCAATATAATACACATCCTTTACATTTAAAAGTGAAGAAAATATTGTATTTGGTTTCTACTGGCAGTCTAGCTACCTTTAAGGGAATAAAAACGAAGGTAGAAAAAGTAATATAGTTTGACTGTCAACTGTAACTGAAAAATAAATGAAAACTACAAAAAATAGTAATAATAAACATAAAAAAGTAAGCTAGTAATGTATTAGACAAATCAATTATTGTTCAGGTGACTGACCATTTGCTTCAAATCAAATTTTATGACGTCTTTTACTTGGGGTAGAAGGAGTTGTTTATTTTGCCAATGTAGGTGACAAAAGAAAAGTATCCATGATAAAACTTAATTAGTGGGAGAGAAACAGTTTTCTTGAGAGAAAAAGTAATTTTAAGTGGTTTCACCAAGGAAGGGAGGGGAAAGCTCTTGAGAAGTGTAAGCAACACTATTAAGTAGTAAAACACAGCAGAGAAAGGCTACACATCCAATTCAACAATTAATTGCTCATTCTGAAAAGTCAAACTGGGAAACACTACTATTTGCACTGCATATGAAACCATTACAAAATGAAACAAACTGTTTCAGTGATCAAACAGTGCCAATGCCAAAACAGCAGAAAATAATAATACAGTGAAAATACAAAGGTAAAGTAAAATTTTAGACTTTCACTGGATGATACTCTATATATGTCTATGGTGATGAATTACTCCTAGAGAGAATCTAATTAAGGAAGAGAAGCACATGACTCATTTAATTAATATCATAACACCCTTTTCAGCCCTGGAAGACAGCAAAGTCAAAACTATACATTTTAAGTAGGTCCCAAGCTATCATTTCTGCTTTTAAAATGTTGTCAAAGGCCATACCCGGTCCAAAAGTATGTTGCTACCTTATGAATTCATTGCAGATTTATACATTTTGCTTTAAACATAAAGAGGCAAGAGTTTCAAATGATGTTGAAAGCAATTTCGCTGTGAAGAGTCCCTGGAAAGAGGCCACGTCTAATTAGAGACTGTGTTTTTTGTTTCCAATTCTGGATTTCTCTTGATATGAATATGGTCTAAAATATCTGTCTATTTAAAACATTATCTTTTAAAACTACTTTTTACCTTTATCGCAACCAGCTTAAAACTAAGATACATCTTTCATTGAAGAATAACGGTGTCAGGCAGACATGCGCAGCCTGCCATGTCATCTCCATGTGGCAGTTTTGCTTGTGCCTAACTTCCTACCTGCCCAAACACTAACCCACTCACTCTTCCTTCTGCCCAGATGGTGATCAAAAAGCAAAAAAAGCAATGAACTACCTATTGGTCCAGGTCAAACTATGGAACCCAGAAGTAATAGAGACTTAACTCTGAGCATAGATTTCCTCACTCATAAAACAGGGACAGCAGTACCCTCCCTCACAGGCTAATTCTGAGAGTTAAATGAGATAGAAAACATAGGACCTGGAGCCTAGCATGCAGTAGGCTGGCAGTGATTGTTCCCATCCCAACCTTTCATTCCTTATGCTTGGTTTACCCAGCTTATAGTCGCCTGGGTCCTTTTCCCTCCTTCCCTCCTCCTGCTGCTCCCCTCAGCTATATAATCCAACACTTCTTCTTTGGTAAGTCCATAGCATTAGTGGAAGAAACTGATGATGTCTGTCCAAAATAAGTTGTAAATTTATTGCTATCCTGCTAATTCACAAACACTTGTATACTCTCTAGCATATTCAATATCTATAGATAAAATTATGATTTTGCTATAACTTTTAAAAGTAATGTACTCAATTCCTGAATATTCCCTTTAAATTGAGGGCAAAAAGCTCTTACTTTAAAATTTTTGTGAAAGCTTAAAAATTAATAATCTAGAAAATAGGATTGGATAGTGTTCCCTTTAGCAATGACACTCATAAAGAGTTACATTATGAATAACATCATGGGAAGTGTAGCTTATCCCTTGCTGACTGCATATATATTTTAAAAATTAAAATTCCCCTCCTACTTTACTTTAACATTAAATATGCTAACAGTAATTATAGGGCAATTAAAGGGGTTTCACAGTAACACAAGCTTTGGGTCACATCACTAAAAATTATAGAATAACATGAACATTAGTTCTCCCAAATAAAATATTTTAGACAGATATATATTATATATTTATTGAACACAGAAACAAATAAAAGCTAATCATAATTTAGGCTTCATTCCCCTGCTACAACTGCTTAGTTTATATTAAACTATTTCTTTGTTTCACCTACCATTCCCGGGCGAGCTTCTTATAAGCCTTTTTAATATCAGCCTGACTGGCTGTTCGGCTGACCCCTAGGACTCTGTATGGGTCAAAATCCAACGCTGACAGAATTTGCAGGATCAGAACCAGAACTATCAAGAACTGCCAGGAAATGCTCAACTTTTTCACTTCCATTTCTCTTCCTTTCCAGAGCTGAAATGATTGAAGAGGCAACAAGTTTCAGTGGTAGAAACCTGGAAAGTCTTGCTTTTTTAGGTAAAGGTATAAGATATAGAGATGAAAAACAAAACAAACGAGATATTTTGCAGGAAAAGTGTCAAGCTGTTTGACCATATTTAAAAAAAATCAATAATCTTGCTACTATTTATATCACAAGTAAGAACTACTATAGATGAAAAGATGAGCAGTAAGAATTAATAGCAACTCTCCAAAATCCTTGGATTAGAAAAGCTTTAGAAATGACTGAAAATGAATGAGACAAAATAACAAGCGAATGTCGGAAAACATACATAGGACAATAAGGTGGCTACATCTCAATACACTATTTCACTCATTCTGGTGATAGTTAAAATATGAGACTTAAGAATAACTTCACTGAGTATATGCTACATAAATTCATGAAATCCTGTTTTACCATGTGCAAAACCCACAAAATGAAATAGCTGTGACATTCTTGGGTGTTAAATAAGTACAAACACGAAAGTGAAATGCTCTTAAAAAACTATGCAATTATGATTTAATATGCCCCAATTCTATTCTTTCTTACCAAGCCCACTAGAACAAGAAAATGAGAAGCTGCCCTTTAATTTGATCATTATGATTGAGCAATATGGTCATTATACGTGGAGACCTCAGGAAATGCTCGCTTGTTTTTTTTCCCCACTGCTATCTGAGAAAAAGTGGCGAGAAACAATTTAGTTTTCCATGTGAAGGGGAATTAATGGCAAAGACTGTAGACCAGACAGACATGGTCTTCAAATAGTAAAGCTCCATCTTTGCTGAGTGTTAATGACTGAAGGTGGGTTTTGGAAATAAGCCTGGCTGCTTAAACAACAAGGTAGTGCTGTATTGAACTGACACGCTCCAGGGTTATGATTTTTGTGATGTTATACAAAGTTTCATCAAGGCCCATATTTATCCTGACTTCTCATAAATCACTGAAGTTTCAAGGTTCAAGTGTTTATTGTGACCCCTTAGCTAAGAGGGTGAGCAAAAGCCGTTAACAGTGGTGGATTTTAACAGGGGGCAGTCTAAATGCTGATTGGGAGTCCTCACAAAACCGACCAACCTGATGACCAACGTTTAGGATTGCATGCATGCTGAATAAAATCCTAAACCAAACCAGTTTCTTTGTTACGGTGACCTATCACCTATTCTCGCCTACAAAACGCGTCCAGCGCGCTAAATATCCGGAAGGTGATGCAGCTACTGGTTAAGCACGTGGACTCTGGAATCAGACGAAGATTGGGATCCATCCCCCACCACTTTATGACCTTGGGCAAGTTAGTTAAACTTAAGCCTCAGTGTCCTTATTCAAAAAACGGGGGTGAATAATACCGTCTTGAAAGGATCAACATGGGAGTTACATGTATGTCAAGGATTTACTGAGCACAGGGTCAACAGTCAGTAAGTGGCACTTATGCTTTTTTCTGCCGTGCTGTGCAACCACTGCCTTCTTCAACTGTGTCAGTCGCCTCCAGTTAGTTAGGGGGCCCAAGTGCGGGAGTGGGGGCTGTGAAGTTCTTCTGCTGACAGCTTGACGACGCCAGCCTCAGGGCAGAAAACAACCTGCCCAACAAGTAGGCTACCGCCCTCAAGCAATATCCCCTCAACTAGGCAGCCGCTGCCGGAGGCACACTCTGGGTCTGAACCCCGCCTCGAACTCCCGCTGGAGGTCGCAACCCTCCAGGAGACGGACGCCTCCTCCGAGAGCCCTTGGCCGGGCCCAGTCGGTTCCCCGTTCCTCCCAGGCCCAGCAAGGAACGGGAACGAGGAGGAACTGAAGGGAGATTCCTGAGCCTGCCCGGTCCTGCCGCGTCCGCGGCTCCGCGCGTCACGCCGGGAAGGAGTTACCGGGAAAGGGCACCAGCCTAAACGGCTGCAGCTTCCGAGATCCAGTTAATCCGCCGGCCGGTAGCCTCTAGTCCACACCAGCGCTCTTCGGGGCCTGGGGAGGGGAAGGAGGGGACAAGGCTGAAGGGAGTCACGTGATACTTAAAGGCCCCGCGCATCGGAGGCACGGACGGAACGGGCTGAGGGCCTCTAACTTGCGAATCTATTTTGACCCTTGTCACCTGCCGTCTGCGCGTGGACCCGGCGCGGTTGCCATAGGAACGAGGTGCGCTCCTTGGCGGGACCAAAAGACACGGTCGTGACCAAAGAGGTCAAAACGTGCCTCCTAGCGAGGCTAAGTCGCGATGCATGATGGGATGCTAAAAAGACCTCCCCGATCCAGGGAGGAGTTTCCAGTCCTACCAGGAGAGGGCCCTCGGCTAGCAACAGTTGTTAGGGTGGGGAAACAATCGCTAGTCTCAGCTCTCTTTGAGCCTATTCATAGGATTCTAGAGCGTCAGAGTTGAAAGGGACCTTAGGGATCCTTTCTGGTCCAACTCCTCTATATGCTGATGGGAGACTGAGGCCCAGAGAGGGGCAGGGATTTGCCCAAGGCCTAGAACCCAGGACTTCTAAGCCTATTTACCAAAACGCTAGCTCCACCCTAGAATGTTCTAGTCTCTGCCCCTAGCATGGGAAAAGGATGTGCATGGTGGGGGCGAGGGGGAAGAGGGCACAGGTGACTGAGGTAAACTTTTATTGAGCCAGAGATATTGTAGATTCTTTAGGGATATAAATAGATTTCAAATCGCCCTGCCCTGTATTTTATTTATTTATTAGTTTATTTCTTTTATATCTCCTTTGCATTTATCACTAACATACTATATCTTTTATTTTATCATCTGTCTCCTCCCACTGAAATGTAAGCACCTATGGCAGGGCTATTTCTGCTGTTTCACCTCAGTATTCTTGGTGCACAGACGTCGGCACAGACAGGATCGCAGTAAATATATGTGGAATAAATGAATGAATGGGGCTGAGGTTTTGCTAAGGAAGAGAATACATTTAAGGTGGACTCCCGGTTAAGAGTGTGGACTTTGAGTCAGGTTCGAGTTGAGTCATCTTGCCCGCCTCTGCCACTTACTACCTCTGTGCTCTTGCACGGCGACTTCACTTCCTTGAGCCCCAGCATCCACATATGTAAAATGGGGGAAAATACTTCCCTGGTGGGATTGTAGTCAGGGATAAATGAGATCATGCAATGTAAAGTGGCTAGCACAATGGATGGATGATACTTAGTAAATGCTCAATAAACAGGATCAATTACTTTTCAAATGAGCCGTACAAACTGGGAGTTCAGAGGACTCCATTTCTGCCCGTTTTTTGTCTTTGTTTGGGAGGTGCAAGTGTGGGAGGGAGGGAAGCGAGAAATGGGGAGCCATGTAGGGTGGGCTTGGGTGGATGAGACACACGAATTTAGAACAGTAAACGATGAGATCCGGGCACCCGGGTGGAAGACTTACGGTTTTATTGGGAGCGGGGATGGGGGGGGAGGAGGAGCTAGAGTCAGGGCTAGAGGGAAGCCATACCCGGGAGGAGGTTGAATGGGGCGGGACAGACTGTGGCTCTAGGCATGGCTGTCTCTTAGTAGTGTGGCCCATTCCGAGTCTCTGTAAAAACGAGGGGTGAATTTTGGCGAGGGGCACGCGACAGTGACGTGAGGGTGTGCCTGGGGCGGGTGTTGACGTGGGGCGGGGCGTTGACGCGTGGGTGTGTTCTGGGGGCGGGGCCGCGGGAGTAGGTTCTGGGGGCTGGACAGGGCTCAGAGGCGGAGCCAAATGGGCCGGAAGTGGCTTGGCCCGGGAGCTGGACCCTGGGGGCTAGGGAGAGATACAGGGGTGGAGCGCAACGCGGTGGTGGGCCCCGGGGCGGGTCCTGGGGATCAGGCCCGGAAGCATACGGAGGCGGCCCGTGTCCCCGTCGTCTGTCCGCCATGGACGTCGCTGACCGGCAGGTCCTGCGGCGGTGTCGGGTGCGGCTGGTCAGCGAGCTGCAGGTGGCCCCTCTCTGGGACGCTCTGCTGAGCCGCGAGCTCTTCACGCCCGGCATGATCGAGGACATCCAGGTGCGCCCCCACCCAGCCGGCGCCCCCGGCTTCCCGCATCGCGCGCAGACTTCTGTTACAGATGGGGACAACGTAACTTAATGGCGGAGCTCCCACTTTTTCCTCTCCTGTCTGTGTCACCCAGTACCCACCCCCCTTTGGGGAATGATTGTGTGGGAACCCCGATTTCCCTTACAGCGGCGAGCCCACTAAATTGCCCAGCCGACCCAAACAATCCCATACACCTACCTGAGGGCTTGCTAAAGCCATCCGCGCCCTGCACCGACGTGCACTGTTAGCTGCTGCCTTGCTATGCTTTTGCCAGCAAGGAGGTATTTGTGTTTTTTCCTCCTCTAGCATGGAGATCCTGGGCATCAGACTTCCTGGCACTCTGACTTTGTAATCTTTGAGCCATTTTCCTGGGCTGTGAAACGGGGACAACAGTAATATTGTCCTGAGGGCTAAATGTGATAACGGATGTGAAACAGTGGCGTGTCAGGCAGAGTAAGGGCTCAACATATAGCGATTGGTTCTGCCTTGTCCTCCTTGGCCAGCCCCTAATGTGTTAAGTTTATGTTTTGTAAGGGGTTTTGGAGATGAACAGTTTAATGGAGGGAATAATAAAATCAAACTTTGGAGGTTCTCTTTAAAAGCACTTTCATATCTTTGTCTTATTTGACTCTTACCACAGGCCTGTGAGGTGAGGCAGGTACAGGGGGGATTTCCTACCATGGGGTGCAGTGGGTGTGTGTGGCTTCCTGGAGGCCCCTGGCCAGTGTCCTGTGGGCTGCTTATAGGCCGAGTGTCCAGTTTCTGCATCACCCAGGAGCTTGGCTTGACCCCGTGAGGAAGTCTTTAATAGGAAAGTGTCATGTGGAAGATTAGCAATGACTAATATTAAAAGAAGCCTTTTGAGCACCTGCTGTGTGGCCTGTACCGAGGAGTGGAAATGGTTTGAGACCATAGCCTTGCCTTCAAGTACGTTCACGGGGGGTGGGGGTGGGGGGGTGTCACCCACTCAGATGCCCATGGAGGCCCAATGGGCGGGCACTACAGCGGGCAGCCTCTGCCTTGCCCTCCAGCTCCACCTCCAGCAACTTCTGCTCCTACCCTGCTCTCTGTCTCTGTTATATGGTTGGTAGTCAGGTAGGTGGTCACTGAACCATAGCCAGAGCCTGCAGCTGGGGAGAACCACCTTGAGCCACAGCCCCAGCCCCAGACCTGTAAGAAACAATACCATAATTGGCCCAGGGAAAGTTTCTCAAGTCACCACTAACATTGGTTAAAAGAGCTGTCCTATAGTTAACGTTTCTTCATTATCATGGTAAAAACCACTCCCCGAGGAGGTGGAGATTTAAGATGCTAATAAAGGTGGAGATTTAAGATGCTAATAAAATCGTAGTTCCATTGCTCTGGCCTGGCAGCAGTGTGAATATAGTTTGTGGACCAGCCTGAATATACTTTGGGGAGCAGGAAGGGAGAGAGGAAGGAATGGGTCCCAACCCCAAGAGCCCATAAAACCACTGTGCCGATTAACCTCGGTGAGCCACATCTGTTCTCTTTTGGAGTGTGCTCCCTTGATGCATCAAGCTTTTGCTTTAATTAACCTTTTTCTCTGCAAAACTGTTACGTCTCTCTCTTGACTTCTATCCCAAGAGGGGCAAGGACCTCTGCACAGGTAACAGTCATGCCAGAATGCTGGTGTGGCGTTGCCAGATCTTTCATGTTTTTAAAGAGAAGCTGAAAACCATGGTTTTGATGTCAAATTTCCTGACTTTAAATGTTAGTAACAATTCAGAATTTTTAAAGAACGCTGTGTGAACAACAGGCCACCCTTTCACACACCTGGTATGGCTGATAAACACACAGGCTTTGGAGCCACATGGATCTGGGCGCTCATCCTGGCTTTGTTATGTATTAGCAAGTTGCAACACTTTTCTGTGACTCAGTTTCCCTCTTCCATAAAGTGGGGATCATTGTAATTTAAGGTTGTTGAGGGGGACTAAATGAAATGATGCCTATAACAGGTGTCTGTCTTATTGTGAGGGTTCAGTCACTGTTGAGAGAAATCAAAACGCCACCACAATCTATTTGTAGAGAAGTAGACATGTACCTAACTGTTTTACTAGCGAGAATTATATCCTCAGTGACACTGTAGGTCTGTGCTGTTCAGTATAGTAGCCATTAGCCACATGTGGCTATTTCAATGTAAACCTGAAGTGATTAAAATTAAAATAAAAAATTCAGTTCCCCAGTCATAGGATCCAAGTGCTCAGTAGCTACACGTGGCGGATTGGACAGCACAGATAAAGAACGTTTCCCTCATCTTGAAAAGTTCCCTTGGACAGTGCTGCTGTAGGATATTTGAGGACAGGGTGCTGTCTTATTCCTGTGCATCCTGAGGAACTTGGCCCAGTGCTGGGTCTCAAAGGACAGCCAGCAGTTAACCAGCATCTTCTTCCTGCTCCTGCCCTGCTCTCTGTCTTAGTGACAGGCCCCACCATCCCCACCCCTGTCAATCTTAACCATGACCATTTCTCCTTTTTCATAGGCGACCCAATCAATGGTCAAGCCCTGTCGCTTCCCCCTCCTTATTTCTCTGGTCTGCCCTCTCACTTTGTATTCCACCTGCACCATTTTTGCTGCCACCTGACCTGGCTATGGCTTCACTCCCTTTAATTGTCCACCCTGCCTCCCAGGATAACTGTTCTAAAAGGCAGCTCTGACTCTGTCACCCCCTTAGAACTGTTTAGTGACTTCTCACAGCTTTCTTGGCTGGACCACACAGATGCCTCCTCCCTCCTTCCTGTTCCCCAGCCTCACATTTCTCATTTCTCGGAATTCACTGTTCGCTTCCTAAAGTTCCCTGGGGCCTCAGCTAAGATCGCCTCCTGGAAGCCTCTGACCGCCCCCAGGGCTGAGTTGGGTGCCCCGGTACCTTCCCAGTCCCGTGTGCTTTCCCTGTGGCACATCTCTTCTTGCTGTGTCACTGTTGATGTGTCTGTTTGCATTCCCCACCCGTCGTTAGCCCCTTGAGGACTGAGATTGTTTGCTGCTGTATTGTCAGCATTTCGCACAGTGCTGGGCACATACTAGACGCCTCCAAAATACTCAATGAATAGATAAGCAAAGGCAGTCTCAATTTTTGCGCATGTACCTGGTTGTTTAGATTTCTGCTATACGGGAAGTGGAGGGACAAGGTGAGAGCCACAGGCAAGTACGTGAGTAATAGTGCCATGTCTTTCTTTCCAAACAGCAGGCAGGCTCTAAGTCCCGGGGCGATCAGGCCAGGCAGCTGGTCACAGACCTGGAGACTCGAGGGAGTCAGGCCCTTCCTTTGTTCATCTCCTGCTTAGAGGACACAGGCCAGAACAGCCTGGCGTCATTGCTGAGAACGAGTAGCCAAGCAGCAAAGCGGGATCCGGAGGCCATCAGGCCCTTGGACCTCATGCCTGTGGTGCTCAAACCAGAGGAGCTGAGCGTGGTGAAGCCGGATCCATTGAAGCCGACCCCAGGAAAACTCACTGCAGCCGTGCTGGGGCCAGAGGAGCTCGGGCCCACCAAGCTCAGGCCAGAGGTTCTCAGACCAGAGGTGCCCAGGCCAGAGGACATTGGTGCTGGAGGATTCAGTGATGTCCGTGAGTACCGAGGGAGTGGTTGGTGGATGGGCATAACGCACAGTCATGGGGAAATGACCACTGGTACAGCTGGGCAAGGCTGAGATTCAGAGTTTAATTTTGGTGTTGTCTTTTTGAGTACTCCTAAGGGATGGGTGCAATATTCTGGTAGGCCTTCAGGAGATTTAATTTTGGCAGCCCCTCCTCTGAAAAGCATGTTCTTTTCTGAATAGGTAATTTCAAATGACTTGTCTTCTGCTTCACAGATTCTTTCTTCTGTGTGATCAAGTCTGATATTGATGCTCTCTATTGTATTTTTCATTTTATTCATTGTGTTCTACAGCTCCAGAATATCTGCTTGGTTCTTTTTTATGATTTCTCTCTGTTAATATTCTCGTTTTGTTTGTGTATTGTTTTCCCAATTTCGTTGAGTTATCTTTCTGTTTTCTTGTAGCTAGGTGAGCTTCCTTTAAACAATGATTTTTATTTCCTTATTGGGAAAATTTCATATTTCCATTTCTTTGGGGTCGATTACTGGAAAAGTATTGTGTTCCTTTGGTGGAGTCATGTTTTCTTGATTTTTCATATTCCTTGAAGTCTTGTGTTGCTGTCCTTGCGTTTAAAGAAGGCTTACCTCATCGTAATCTTTGCTGACTGGCCTCTTCAGTGCATCCAATCTTGGGTTTTTTTTTGTTTTTTATTTTTGTTTTTGCATCCTAGCAGTGTCCTAGAACTTTTTCCTCTAGATTCCTGGACTTTTACAAAGGCACGCTTGTCTGTGGATGATTGTCAAAATCAGTGTTCTTTGTGGGAGAAGGCAGTAGAAAATTCTTATTCTGCCATTTGATGTCACTGTCTCACTGTGTGGATCATTGCTAATTCGGGAAATGAATAAATTCCTCAATAGTGGATAATGGTTATATTTTTTAGGGTGCAGTGAAATTTTGGAAATGAGCAATAGTTTCAGAATTAAGTCTGTGGACTAATAGAAGTCTTCAGGCTAGGGAAAACCATTAAAAATATATATATATTTTATTGGGGAAGGGGAAAAGTGTGTTTTTCCAGGATCCATCAGCTCCAAGTCAAATAGTTGTTCCAATCTAGTTGTGGAGGGCACAGCTCAGCTCCAAGTCCAGTCGCCGTTTTCAATCTAGTTGCGGTGGGGCACAGTCCACCATCCCATGCGGGAATTGAACCGGCAGCCTTGTTGTTACGAGCACGTGCTCTAACCAGCTGAGCCATTCGGCCGCCCCATTTCTTTTTTTAAAAATGGGATGTGAATGCTTTTCTGCCGTGACTTTTAAATTGGCAAGAGAACAGTTCCCAACAAGGGGTCCAGGCCTGCTCTGAGCAATGCATGTCACCATCGCTTGAACATAAGTGTAAGTAAGCTTCAACATGACATGGAGATAGCCACCATGTTCTCTTTGCTTAAAAAAAGAAAAAATACTCTATGACCATTTAGGCTGGTGGCTAGTTGACTTTTAGCTAAATGAAATGAAAACTTTTGACATTGAAGGAAAAAAATGACAATTTTATTCACTTATTCGTTCTGCAACTATTTCCTGAGGACCTACTGTGTGCTGGGTCCCAGGGGTTCCGCAGAGTGAGAGCATCTACTCTCCTGAAGCTTCCCTTTCACCCTTCTGTTCTCAAATTTCACATAAATGGAATTGCACCGTATACACTATTCTGGCTTTTTTTTTTTTTTTTACTAGGATAATGTTTTTGAGGTTATCGGGTATTGCATGTATCAGTCAGTAGCTCATTCCTTGTTAGGCTGTGTAGTGTTCCACTAAATGGCTACATTGCTGTTTGTTTCTCCATCGACTCATTGATGGATGTCTGGGTTGTTTCTAGTTTGGGGCATTATTATTCAGGCTTCAGTGAACACTGGTGGTCAAGTCTTTTTGTGCCCGTTTCTCTTGGGTGTACACCTGGAAGTGGAATTGCTGGTCAGAGGGTAGGTGTGTGTTTAACTATTAGAAACAGGTCTCCAAGATGGCTGTGCCTCTTGTCTTCCACCAGCAGTGTCTGAAGGTTCCCGAGTTCCCTGTCCTGTGTTTCTGTCAGGGCGGTCCTCAGAGTCCCTTGCTCCTCCCCTGCTGGACCCTGACATTCATGTTTTTCCTCTTTCTTTCTTTCTCCAGGTGCTCAGATAGGATCCAGGGGGAATGCCGATTTGGTGAGTCTTCATATGATTTGGGGCCAGTTGTCTTCGCTTTGGGCCCTTTGCTCTCCATTCTCCAGGTCTTTCCCTGCAGTTGATTCGGGAGCCCAGGGAACCCAGCCCAGCTGGAGAGAGGGTCCCGGTCCCAGGCCCTCTGATCCTGGCACAGTTCTTCCTGGAGCAGGTTGCCAACCCTGCTCTTTCCTCATCTGTGAAGTCAGGGGTTCAGACCTAGTGAGGGGTGGGCATCAGAATCAGATGTGGTACCCACCCCAGACCTAGCCACTCACTCTCATTCACACATTTATTGTGTGACTCCTGTGACAGCCCTGGGCTCCGTGCTGGGATACCTGGGAACAGACCATTTGTGTTTCTAGTCCTCTGATCCCCTGCTTGTGGAGTCATCAGCCTAGCAGAGGCTCATTACACAAATAAATAAATACATATGAATAGTGTGAAGTACCGCGAACAAAAAAAAACCAGGTTGACATGGGAGAGAATTACAAGGAAACCCGTCAATGTTCCCAGGATGGGTCTGAGCATGAGTCTGCCGACAGAGCTGCCCACACGACTCAGGTGCTCCCCTGGACTGGATGGTCTATAAGGTCCTTTTGGGGTGAATGTCTATGGGCGCTGGATTTCTAAGCTAGCAGTTCCCATCCTTGAATACTGCAACAGGAGCTAATCTCCTCTCCCATGTTTAGCTATTCATACGTCACACAGCTAGTGCTCACCCCGATCTTTGCTCCTGCCCTGCAATACTGGGTGTAGGCCCTGCGACTCCTTCAGTGAGAGGGCAGACCCCATTTTCTGTCTCATCACTCCAGACTGTCAACCCCACAAGTGAAAACCAGGGGGTCGCTTTCCCTCCTGAGGAGTGCAAGGGGACTCCGGTTTACATTGGTTCCTGTGCTTGGGCAGGCATACATTCTGAACGCAGAACCCTGTGGCCACTGCCTTATTATCAACAACGTGGACTTCAGCTTTGGGCTTAGCACCCGCTTCGGCTCCGATATCGACTGTGAGAAGCTGCAGCGACGTTTCCGCTCGCTACATTTCTTGGTGGAGGTGAAGCACAACCTGACTAGCAAGGTGTGATCACTGTGTGTGGAGATGGGGGGTGGGGGACAGGGTGGAGCAATGTCCTGTGAAGGATCCCAAAAGCAAGTGACGCCCTTAGACGAACCCCTAGGTCTGTAGGACCATGAGAGGCAGGGTGGTTCAGTGGTTACCAGTTTAAGCTTTAGACTCAGACAGACCTGGGTGGAAGACTGGCTCTTCTACTCCCTGCTGTGTGACTCCTGAGCCTTAGTTTCCTTGTCTAGACTGCAAGAATAGCACTCACCTCCTAGGGTCGTTGCGAGGATTAAATGCACAGTGCCCAAACATAGTACCTTTCCCCCTAGAATGCTGGCTATTGAGACTCTTGTGACTGCCATTACTTCAGCATTGGTTCCTGCTAGTAGGGAAGGTGCTCCCAGGCCTTCAGGTGGGCCCAGGGTGGGGACCTGATCCGTCACTGTTCCCGGCTTACCTGCAACCTTCTCTTGTAGCAAATGGTCCATGCTTTGGTGGAGCTGGCACGGCGGGACCATGGCGCTCTGGACTGCTGTGTGGTGATCATCCTCTCTCACGGCTGTGAGGTAGGAGGCCTCAACTCCTTGGGCAGGTGCCCGGGAAAGGCTGCAGCGAGAGGCTATGCAGGAGCCCCATTCTTTCCTGTGTCCAGGCTATCCTTGGCTTTGTGGGAAGAGCCGTGGGGCCCTGTCGACATCCTGTTGTTTTCTTGGGGGCCATCTGGCCCTCCGAGGAGTCGGATGCTCCTCGTGTGTGGGGTGTTCCTGGGAGAAGCCATCTGGGAGAGGCAGGGAGGAGACAAGCTCTGCTCACAAAGCTGCTCCTCACAGATTTTGTTTGTTTGGAGCCGGCACAGCACATAAGAGCTCCCAGCTCCTGCCTCGGTCCTGCTGGGCATTGTTCTGGGCTGTTTGCCACTGGCTGGGAGTCAGGACACTGGGACCCACTCTGGGCTCAGCCACGAATGTGCTGGGTCATTGTGGCCAAGCCCCTTCCCCTTCCTGGTCCTCAGTTTCCTCATCTTTTAAGTTGAGAATTGGACAGGTCAGAGGTTACAAGCTGGGGTCCTATAGTCCTCCTCTGGGTTATATAGTATTCTCAAAAATGACAGCCAGCTTTCACACAAAAATCAGGATTTCCAGCTTCTCTTGAAAAATTACAAAGGTCTGGCCTTAGAAGCCAGCATCCTCACAGAGCATGTTGTGTGGCCTGCAGCGGGGCAGGGCCTGCCCCTTAGGGCCTTTCCTTCATGGTGTGACCCCTGGACTGGCAGCTTGGGCGTCACCTGGCAGCTTGTGAGAATGCAGGCTCCTGGGCCCTACCCCAGACCTCTTCACGCAGAGCCTGCACTCTAACAGGATCCCCATATACATAACGGTGGAGAGGAATCAATCGAGAGCAGGGGTTCCCAGTGTTCAGCGGCACCAGAGGTACCTGAACGGCCGATCGCTGGTCTCCGTGCTCAGGGTGATCGATTTAGGAGGTGTGGGTGGGGCCCAGGAATTTGCATGTCTTCTAAGTCCCACGTGATACTGATGCTGTTGGTCCAGGGACCACACTGGGAGAGCCACTGATCCAGAAGAAGCTGGCTGGCACTCTCACTAGGCCCCTGTAGGCATGTGACTTTGAGACCCTTGGAATGGAAGCTGACCAGGGCCCACCCGGAACTAACCTGCTCTGTAATGCTTGGGCCCCACGAAGCCTCCAGACTGGGATTCCTACGCAGTTTCTTGGTTTTGTAACCAGGAGTCTTGGTCTTCTAGGCCAGCCACCGCCAGTTCCCGGGGGCTGTTTATGGCACAGATGGGTATCCCGTGTCCATCGAGAGAATTGTGAACATCTTCAATGGAACCGGCTGCCCCAGCTTGGGAGGGAAGCCCAAACTCTTTTTCATCCAGGCCTGTGGTGGAGGTAAGCAGGTCCTCAGCCCCTCTGCAGATGAATCTAGTGGAGAAGGAACGGCTTTCTTCTCCATCCAGCCCCTCACCATGTCCCAGGGGTCTTCCAGGCGGTCAGAGGGTCTCAGACATGGTCACTGGTGTCCGAGTGGCAGCACCTGCGTCTGGCTAGAGCAGGCCTCTGCTTTGTCCAGCCTTTAGGGGTGAGAGTCTTTATCTCACAATGCAGTAACAAACAGGGGCTCCTGTGACTTTGGCAACTTCAACTCCAGAGACTTGACAAAAATAAACAAAGTGGAGGAGAAAGAAAGAACTCCTCCATTTTCCTTATATCATTCTCCTGACCTCCATCAACTAGATCCACTTTCTACTACCCCAGAGAAAAGGAGGCCAGCTTTCTGGGAAAGTTAGAGTTAGCTGGTCTTCCGGCC